CTTGACAAATTATTCTTTTTAGAAATTTAATATAAAAACTGCACTTATCAGGAAAGCATTTTCATTAAAAAAATAAAAGAATATGTCCAATAATTTAACTCGTTCACGAATACCGGAATCATGTGTAGCCTACTTCAGAATATTTTTATTTTTTCATTTTAGTGACAAATGATTTTAAAAACAAGATAATAAAAATGCTATAATTAAATGAATTTAGTAGGTTAACTCAGTAATAAAATCGTTTTATTTAAACTTCATCGAAGAGGATTGAAATATATGAAAACAGAAATTCGTGTCCATCTGTTGATTCAAATAAAGTCTAACTGAAATCTTTTCAGTTAGACTTTATTTGATCAATACTTAAATGAATAAAAATTGAGTTTTTAATGCAATCTTCCTTTCAATCAATAATAATCGATATTGATTTCATATTCTTCTTACGGAAACAATTTAAACTAAAACGGAAATTTTCGTATTGGTCGTGGAATGAAAAAGCGTTTACGGTATATAAAGTCGCAGAATTCGTTTGTGAGTAAATATTTTTCTTGAAAATGTGCTTAATAAGATGAAGAACGATAAATTCAAATGTACAAATTTTTCTGATAGAAAATAAATAATAATTTAACTGCTTTACTTTTAAGATGTAATAAGATGTAACGGTAAATTACATTTAGTTTTGTTTAGATAAAATCTTTTGAAATCATTGCAGATTTCGAAGATAACGACGTAAAAACAACTTTTATCCATGAAATTAAGCTTACTAATCTAGCATTGACTAAATGTGAAAACTTAAAAATTCGAATACAAAATAGTAAGAAATAATAAATTTCTAATTAAAATAAATTCAATATCTGTAAAACTTTATTATTTTTATTATCGCGTATTTATATGTTTGAAGTAGCTTCAAAAATTAATAAAAATCCCTAGTGAAAAATTTGGGAAAGGCTGTATTAGAATGATTTCGAAAGTAAATCAATAAACCTAACCGATTGAACTGAAACGGATGAGTACCCAAATGATTGATTTCATGAGAGATCTGAATGTCTATCATCCAAATACGGTCGAAAGTAAGAATATTAAAGCGTAATTTTAAAAAAGTATATCCAGCTAATGTTAAAGAAGTTTCATTTTCTAACAAAGTTCAGGAAAATGTAAGTCGAAAGCTTTCTTATAACAAAAATAAAAGATATTTATTAAAACACTGCTCGAATCAGCAATACGAAATTATAGATTATCATTTATTTCATTGCAAGAACATCTATCTGTCATTAAATACAGAAATAAATGTGCAATGTAGTTACGTACATCGATCATTTAAAAGTCATTCCTGGTGCTCATTTACCAGCTTTGATGCGTAATTTACGTAGATTTACGTATGCTATTTATGAAATGCACGTACAAATTTCGTGGATTGATATTGTAGCTGTAAAATATATTGTTATTTTCTAGTCTAGATTCGAATTTATTCATTTCGTTTTGAGATTTTAATCGGCATTTTTGTAAAACCTTTTTTAATGCTTAAATGTAAAATTAAAAAATTCATTATGCAAGTAATAAGTTTATTATTTGCATAAATAATAAGTGACAGTTTAACTTGCTATAAAATCTCTAAAATTAACACAATTACTGAGAACCAACGAGGTAAACAAACGCAAAATATAAATACAGTATAGCCTATAAGCTACAACCGCCACTGACGATAACATAAAAAAATGGCCGTTGTGAGGAGGTGGTAGTGATTTAAATTTATTTTGTATGCATTTTTGTCCAAAACCAGTTCTTGAAAAATTGGCCGCTGATCAGAGATGACAGTTATTGGGAGATGATTATTTATTAGAGATTCGACTGTATTATTTTTTTGATAATTGACAAAGGAATGTCTTCCAAGATAGGAAAAAACAATTGATTCTATATAATTTACAAATAATCTCTACTCGAAGTCATGAGAATACAATGACTGGATTCTCAATTCTATTTTAAATTTAAAAAGTTTCGAATTTTTTATTGAATTTTTCAAAGTCAAACGTAATGATACGTCATTAATTTTTAATCTTAGATCGTATGCATTTAAATTTACATCCGATTCTTACTTAGATCTGTTCACAACTTAGGTCCATCGATTGTTCGTTAACAACTAAAGAAAAGACTTTCGTTCGTGACTTCATAGTCAAAAATCTTTTTTTCTGTCCGACTTACACGACAGGAAGTTTTTTTCCGACGTAACAGAAAATTTATATTGTTTCTGTCTTTGTAATTTTACCTCGATTCGTTGATTGCAATGCAACTAAATAAACACATTAGTCCTAAGCCCGTATAAAATATAATTACAGAGTGTTTTTTCATTGTGTTTGTCGGATATCCGTTGTTTTTATCATACATCCGATTTCGGGTAAACGGGTCAATTTCATACGTCATTGTATCCGGGTCGTTGTAGGTAATTTGAGTCAGTGGGAAAAGCTTGACCTATTCACACGTGTTAGTCTATGTCAAAGAGTAAGTTAACAACAATCGACCGACGATCACTTTATAACTCTAGCCTACTTTAGTAGCTTAACCCAAAATATCAAGACTAAAGGTTTAGAATATAGGTCACAAGTAAGAAAAATACAAAATAAAGTAATTTTGGCAAAAGTTTACTATAGTTTTAAATTACACATAATCATGTGCATGATTAACTAATCATCTCTTATTCTTAATGAAATCATGTAATGATTTGGTGTAAATCTTAAGAAATACATCCTATTTAAGTTCGTTTACAGTTAAAAAATGTTTTAAACTAACGAAAAATCAAGAATGATTTTTCTAGAAAAGCTCTTGAACTAAAACATCGATAAGATAATTAAAACAAGAATTATCATTTTTCTGTTTCTTTGCAGACACACTAAGGTGACATATATCAACACTTGGCAACAAGTTGCCAAGTGTTGATATATGTCACCTTAGTCTGTCTGCAAAGAAACAGCTTAATAACAGCAACACGGTTTCATCAGAATCAATCAAGAATTATCATTCTAAGATTTACGAAGAAAGCTTTGAAATGACTAACTCTCCAGGATAACAATTCCTCTAAACTCTCCTATAATAAAGGAAATATTTATCAAAACATATTTTAAGTACACTTATAAGTTAATTATTTTTATAATTCGAATGAAGCAAAAGCTAATCGTTATCTTCTAAGATCGTAACAAATATACAATCTATTGAAAACTCTACTTTATCGTTAATCTTGCTTCCTCTTTGATCTTCGTCCGTCGTTAGACAAGAACCTTTATGAGAACAAATCGATAAACTTCCGAAAGAGTAGAAATTATACGAGATTCTATGGAGGCCCACCGATACTAGGTCTACATAAAAGGCGGTTGCGAGTCCATTAGAAGGGGAACCTCGCTGATTACGTGCATCGATTCCATTAAGAAGAGTACCGTAGCTTTGCTGATGGCGGTCCAAATTATCTCTGCATAATCTGTTGGAGTGCACCAGAATTGATTTATTGTCTGATGGTACTAGCCCTAAAGACAATGGGAAAATATTGTATTTGAATTTAAATACATATTACGTTTTTATATAGATATCTCAACTAAAATTAGTGGAATGAGATTTATTTAAAACACGTAATACAGAAAATTACAACATCCGAAATTTTGATTGGTATAGACTGGATTTTTTGTAGAAATTTAATAATCAAATCGTGTAAGCTGATTGTATCTGCAGAGAGAATTTGTCTACACCTTACTTTGGTCTTCTAACCAAAACAAAAGTAATAAAAAAAGTGAAATAAATGGCTTCTGTAGTAGATTTTAAATAGCAGAAAGTATCTGCTAACTTACAATTATAGCGAATTATTATTTTAAAAAAATTAATATTTAGCTTAAAAGTTTCGTATTGGAAAGTTAAAAAAGTTCGAATATAAAAAATTAATTAAAATACAATCCTAAATAATTTAATATTAAACTTATGCTAATTAAATTATCTTCTTCGTATTAGGAAGCAAAAAAAACAAGAAACAAAAAAAATCATAAAAGTCCATTGATTAGTAGAAATAGTAGGCCTACATGTTGCATTTCATCTAAATAATACTTTAGTAGGCATACCTAATTATTATATTTACATATCATAAATATTCCTGCAGAGTGCATAACCTATTATAAAAGTTGAGGGACAACTACATTACGTCACGTGATCCATTGTGGCTTGTTCATTGGTAAAGGAGTGAACGTCCTCTTTAGAACAAGTTCGGCCTGTTTCCGACTGTTGTTAAGTGCAGTGGTATCGAGTGAGTGGGTGAGGTTGGTCGATCGTGGAGATAAAAAAACAGTGATTTATTATTTGGGCATCAAATGATTCAAGCTCGAGCGGCTACCTGCCAAAATATATATATATATATTTTTAAATCGTTATAATATAAAAAAAAAAACTTGAATAGAATAAAAAATTTTACAAGGGCATTTGTAGAAGATGAATTTAAAATATCCTACGTATAAATACATTAACATGCTAATTATTTTAGAGTTTTAAAGCTACGTTTTTCTCTATACTTTACAACGACTGATGACTTTACAATTTTTAATTAACACAAAGAATTAGTTAAGAAGACATTGCCATGAATGGAATTAACTAAACAATAGCCTGTATATTGTAAAATTAAATGGACAGAGCGTTTTTCAATGGCACGCTATATATTTTCAACTGATTATAAATCTATGTCATAAGTTACAAAATAAGTAATCGTAGATGATTTGCCTCTGAACAATAAAACAAAGAATTAATTCTCATCTTTCTTCAATGAATTAAATTAAAAACTTTAGTTCTAAAGCCTACGTGTTACTACGTTTAGTTCTAAAGCCTAAGTTCTACGTGTTACTTTATTAACTTTTTAGTTTGTAATATTTGTAAATTTTTTTCCGAGATTTAATTATTTACACAGCCATAAATAAAGGTAATTGTAGGAACAAAGTCCAAATTAGCTTTAGAATAACGCATCATTTAAGATAGAGAGTCATTAGCGTTACCATGCATTCCAAAATACTCTTTTTAATGCTTTTTAAAAGTGTAAAATGGTGTCGAATAGTACTTTTATTTTTGTCCTTTCAAGTGTGTAATGCCGAGCGCAACATTTGTAAGTGTGACGATTTTTCTGATTAATTTTTCTTTACTATAATTTTCCAATTAAAATATAAAATATATAACCTATACAATTATATGTAATTAGCTGTTGGAACTATTAGAATAACCATTTTATTGGTCTAATATTTGCCACAAATTTTTAATATTAAAGTACAGTAATCGTAGGCCCTATATTATATACAATAGACTTGTCAGAGCTGATAATCTTTTTATAGTCACTTTTTTAATTAATACAAATACATTTTTAAATTTTATTTTACTTCTTTATTATTTTATGGTGGAAGTGAAATTAAATCGCCGTCACGTAATGCATTTTTAATTGATGTAACAGGCCAAAGACTGTACACCATCTTATATATCGACACTGGGTTGGCTTTTTGCCAAATTTCTGACAGTCGAATGAATACTATTTCACTTGGAAAGATGGAATTTGCCTACATATAAAGGTATATGAATGGTCCAAATAACTTGACACTTCGAATTTTTATAAAATAAATCCAGAAATCCGAACGCATATCTTATCAAGTCGTATTTTGATGTAAACGTTAACGTTGTATAAGATAATATTTCACGTTAAAATGTGATGAAATTAATAATAATTAAGGTTTTCACTACATAAATTTGTTATTTCGTTCTTGTCGCAGGGTAAGCTATTTTTTTATTTGTAACTTTGTTTATATAATTCGATGACATGTATTTGTTGTAACCAATGTAGACGTAGGTCGACACGGTATGTAGGTTATACCGGCGTAAATAGTTTCGCTCAACTGAGCATGCGTATCTGTCGGGTGAGAGTTTACGACCGGACGCTACCGCCCCCTATGGATAATTTAGGACCCCGAAGGCTCTGTTAAATATTTGTCTAATGTCATTGGAAAGACAGAAAGACACATAAAATCGTCGACATTAGCATATATTTCGTAGTCCTACTTAAAAATGCAAAATGTGGTGGGTGATTAGATTAAATACTGTAAAAATTTACTTCCCTTAGGAGGAGTTTCGAAAAGAAATTTTTTTAGTAAAGATTAACTTTAAATAGTTGACGTAGTTGTGTGACATTCTAATTGTTTACATTTTATGGAACGAACGATAGAGATCTTCCTATGTTGTAATTCTTACAAGCTTAAGTTATATGGCTACGTATAATATATATGATTGCGTTTATATCGTATTGTTCAAGCGGCTGTGAATAATAAAAAGATAGAATTATTTAAATTAAAGTACAGAAATTGAAGAAAGCAGAAAGTATTTTTTAAAATATTTAATTAAAAGTCCCTCTGGCACTAGAATCTTGTAAACATATTTTTTGAAAATAATTTTAAAATATTACAAATTGAAGACTAAATATAGGTAAAAATTTGTATGAATGCAACAAATTTTTGTTTGTTTTTAGTCTTGAATTTGTAATAATTTAAAATATGTCTATATTTTATCCTAATTTTTAAAAAAAATTTAAAGAAATAAAATATGTAAGACTTTTCAATTTATGTATAACATTTTATTTTTTTGCTAAAAATACGTAGCCTAATTGATTTTCTTACGGAAATTCGAAGGAATCTATTTTATATTAACTTACTACAAAATGCATTCGGAGGATGAAGCAAAGTTCATTTCCAGATTATGCGGAGGAAGCGTGTTCCCAGCAAACAAGCTCTGTGAGGTATACTTTAGGAGTTACGGGCAGCACCAGTTCGGCCATAATTAAGGCAACGAGATCGTCCAGTCACTCTGCTCCTTATCACTGCAACATAACATTGTCCACGTTCTCTTCCGATACTCACATTCTACTTGACATCAAGAAAACTGACTTTTACAGTCCTGATTCTTGTAATAATTACATTAAGGTAAGTTTCGAGTTTTTAACCTTAAACAAATGCATTAAATAAATAAATATCCGCTTCGTTTATAGTTATACATTCAGGGAAACGAATATTGGAAATTATGTAAAGACGACGAAGCTCTGACTTATATGTCTCATCGTAGCGCGGTTACCTTTACCTATCACACAGAAAATAAAGGCGTTTTTGATTCCGGATTCGAAATTGTCTTCACCGCCTACAGCAGTAAGTTCGCCGCCCTTCAAATATTTAAGTCTTGCCATTTACTCTTTGATCTGACGAAGATAAATTACTCCTACAGATCTGTGTACCGACGTCTTCAACTTCTTGTGTAAGAATACAAGATGCATTTCTAAGACACTAAAATGCGACGGTATCAATAACTGTGGAGATAACAGCGACGAATTAACAGAAGAACCTTCCAATTGTGGCATGTATACACGTTCTAAATTGTACACATTTTGTATGCGTAAATTAATTCCTTCGTGACAATGCTCTCGTTACATTACTTTTGTATGTTATTTTTTATCGGACGATTCCATATTTTTATACATTTTGACGAAATGCACATCGTAAAAAGAATTAAAATGCATATTCTGAAACGTTAGTAGAGACAAAAGTAATGTTTCTCTATTCAGGATCCAGGCCATAAGCACTTTTAACACTTTAATCTTACAATAACTTTTTATTATTTTAACAATTACATTATTTACGTTTTTATTTTATCATTCTGATGCATAATCATAATTATACGTGAATTTATTCCAAATTTACCATTTTTTACATGGCGTAAGGCAGAAACATTGTCAAAATTTATTTTGGATTCGATTAATTTTTGATGATTAAAAAATGGTTATTATCTAAAATCACGTGACTTATTCGGAAAAAAATTATAAGTAAAGAAAATGTATAACAAAGATCCGATTTTAGTCAAATGCTTTATAAATGATTCCCTAGATGGCGCTTCAAATGTCTCCTCGGATCAAACAGTGGACCGTTCCCTTAAAACCCTCATCAAACGCGTCAGTCATTTCCTCCCCCCTCCCTTCGCAGAAGCAATCTTGTCTCTCTGGCGTCTGTTGCTGTGACAATATCGCTGTCGATGACACTCCATCGTTTCAATCACTGACAAATATGTTCTGCCTCTTGTTACAAAGTCCTTCGCTGCATCTGTCTATCGATTCGTTGTTTTCGAAAGAGGAAAAAATTCTCAAATTTTTTGTAGAACATTACAAGCACACAGAACACACACACACACACAACACATTTTACATCATTATGTGAAACAACAACAGTAATATATTATTTAAAATATGTTAGGTTGAATATTTATAGCCTTATTATGATATCATTATTATCATGGTCATAAATAAAAAAACTGCATGCTTCTTAAATTATTCACTTAAGTTCCTCAAGAGAAAATCAAACACGGAAGAGATTATAGCAGATGAGAGAAGGAGGAAAAAAAATCAGATTTGCAAATATATTTATAAATAACATGTAGCCCAGAAAGTAGCCAATGCACGAAATGATAATTTTTATACCAAACTAAAAAAAGTGTAGCCAAATTTGGTGCAAAGTAGTCAAATCTTGCAATGCTGGAAAGAANAAATCAGATTTGCAAATATATTTATAAATAACTTAAAAAAAATTAAAGTATTGAAGAACTTGAAAATCTTTAAAAATCCAGGATGAAAAAATATTTTTTTAAAATTTGATGTTGTCACACATCCTTGACAAACACAGGAATACAATTAACAATTTTATTTATTTTTTAATTTGTATTTAGTCTTTAATTTTTCAAAATATTGAAGAACTATCTTGATTTACATCCGCGTACGGTCTCTCAAATCAATAAGTCATCGAGCAAATATAATTTTTCGTGTCACCCTTTCGAATTTAATGTTCTATGCAAAGACAATTAACGGCAATTAACGTATTATACAAATGGACGTTAAAGTCATTTTTTCCCTTCGGCGTAATTTAAGAAGCTATTAACTAAAAGCTAGTGCTTTGTTTTCAGGTCTTTCTGGCGGAGGAATTGCGGGGATTATTTTAGGAGTGATGCTATTCGTCTTCATTCTTTCGATCGTCATCTGGTGCCTGAAAAAAAGGAAACAGCGTAGGTCAAACCCAAGGGCTTACATCGCCAAGATTGATTTAAACAATACTTAATGTCCATAGGATTTGTATTTATACACGTAAATATATTTTAGACGAAATATAGGCCCAAAATATTGTAAAAACTAAAAATAAAATTATATTTTAAATTCGCGTAAATGATACAAATTAGACTAGTTTAAATTTCGTCATTCGTTATAAAACGCGCTACGTCAATACATCATTATACGTCATAATTATTCGTTTAAGTAGCATTTTTCAAATTAATCTCTGACTTGACGTCATAAAGTATTAATGATCGCTAGTATTTAGTAATTGTGTAACTTAGATTCTCGTTACGTGAAGGTTTAAAAGGTTACGATATTTTTATGGCCTATGGCTTTTCTGTCGCTTGTAACAGTCAATCAGAACTGTCAACCGAAAAATATCCTTAGTCCTTTAGTTTAATGTATCATGATTAAAGAGAGAAATTTCCGATATTATTAAGAAGCAGGCAATTGCGAAAGCTACATCGATTAGAAGTGAATTTATTTTTAAGAAAATTCACTTCTAAACATTTTTCTTTTATGAATTAGTGTGAAAAAATAAAATTCCTATTATTAAAGTATATACCAGTTAAGTTATTCGGATATTGTCAATATTTTTTGAATTGGTAATATAATTTGATGATTCATTACATTACAAGAAATAATTTTCAATAATACATTCCACAGTATGAATCATTTATTGGTAAGACGTAGAGATAGTAAATTTTTAAAATGTCCAAAGAATATCGATGATATTACAAGAATAAAGAACTATAAAATTATTTTGTCAAAATTTGTTCTGAAAGTATTTCGCAGTCATTTAAGAAGAATTTTTCATTGTCAAATCGTATTCAAAAATGGGACATGGGATCGGTTACATTCTGATTTAGTGAAGAAGTTATGAATTAATTTCTGCCCAAATGCTATCATCGATATTTGCATATTGAAGAAGAAAAACCTAATAATTGTTTCAATTAACTTTAAAAAAATAATTGCAAATATTTAAATGACTATGTCGATTGTTAAAAATGTAATAAGAATTGCTTACTGTATTTGTAAGAAACACAAGATAAAATTCTTATTAAACTGCACTCGGTATTTGTATTTGAATTTTTAAAATTCTTCTTAATTTTTATTTTATTCTTCAAAAAATTGATTTTATACAGAAAAATATTTAAAAAACTTAAATGCGTATAAGGAAGAGATGAATTGTATTAGGATTCATCCCATTTAAAAATACAAAATAACCTATATGAAATAAGAGTGCAAGCCCGGCTCTTTTTGTCCAGAAAGTGAACTTTAACGTCAATTTGACGTCATCTATTCACTTTTACATTGAACAAGTTTTAAAAAATGACGTCAAATTGACGTAAAGTGTGTAATGATTTCAAGCAAACGGCTGTATTATTTTACTTCTCATTCAAATGTCGTCTAGCCAATTTTCGTACATTTTTAACTGGCAAAATACTAAAAAAAATGGTATAAAATATTTTTGTTTTCACTTAGTTTATCTAGGATTAAAACATTAATAAAATTTATAAAAATGTGATTTCAGTTTAACCTGTTCGTTCGAATAGCTTCTGTCTTGTTATTCTGTATTAGAAAATACAGACATCTGTCATTTTGTCTGACGGTAAACAGTTTTGTTCAGACAACGAAACGGTCACGTGCTACTGATGTCATTCGTAGCGTGCGTTCGGTGAGATAAGCGTATTCATTCTGTAAGTAGAAATGTGTCAAATAAATACCCTGAAAAACTCTACAGTCGCATGAAAAAGTATGTTTGAATATTTGGAGATTCTTTCTACCGCTTCATAAATTCTATGAGGTATAGACTAGTAACCACGCTACTTATTATCATTAAAAAGAGGTGAAAGAAAAATGGAAATTAGATTAAAATGAATTTACACAGAGTACCGTTATCGATATAAACTGCAAAAACAAATATAAATCTGCTAAATTCCTTGATTTATTTAGCAATAATCTGTAGACCTATATCACTGTTAGAGGGAACAAGTTATTTCGCAAACTGCTGTAACAGTGATGTACGATGCAGTGGTAAGCAAAAAATGTTATATACAATATATATAGGCACTATATTACGCTTTGTTATATATCTTATAATATAATCGAGATGGGTTGATAATGGTAATAATAATAAGCGCAGATCCAAAACGGTTAGAAGTTGAAAGTTAAAATTTGGTACTCAGTTAGGGTACATCATGAGAACGTACACTAAAAAGGTATTTTTCGAAATCCCCAGGCGGGGGAGAGGGACAGGATTAAGTCTTACCGTTAAAAACTCGGCTTCTATTACACTATTATAGATGTGGTTTTTTGCGTTTTTGATTGCGTTTTAATGGGGTATGTCATGAGAATGCACATTAAGAAGAGATTTTTCGAAATTCCCACCGCGGGGAAGGGGGAGAGAGTTAAAGATTACCCCGAAGAACTCGACTTTTACTGTACTATTTTAGATGCTTTTTTTGCATTTATGCTGGATATCGAACATATTTTTAGATATTTTTCTAAAAATTCTCAACGATATTTAGTGTTCCATCGTATATAAAGTTGACAAAGGGAAGTGCATACGCATAAGTTCGCTTTATTCGAACTCTGTATCTTAATGTTCGATTTTATGTTCGAATTTATATTCATGAATGATTCTGGAAGATCCAGCTTATTTTTCGAATTTAGTAAACTTGAAGAAAAACTCAGAAAGAGTTACGAAAACGTTTATTGTTCATCACTTAGTGGTCACTACGCACCGCTTAGTGGTTGCAGTGAATCTTATTTACCGTTATATCGGTGTGGTAAGCAGATATCTAAAAATTCTCTAATTAGTTTCGGAAGAGGGGGGACCTAATTCTTGCTCTCGGTGAAAACGGGTAAGATCGGATATAATCTAATAATATTAACCGTTGCTATCGTTACTTTTTGTCCGAGCAACGCCAGTTTCATCTGCTAGTATGTATAATGATCAAAGTTCTTCATTGTTTGCAGCGCCAATAGTGCCATAGTGGTGAGTTTTGATACTAATATTTTTTATTACGAAAATGTCTCCCGCGTGTCCTAAAATACTAGATGTAGTTGTATTTGGACGGTAAATATCTCTCGATACACCGTTCAATAGGGGTATTTTTATTACAATAATACTTCAAATTTTCTTTATAAGATGAATTTGGCTTCACTTTTTATGAAACAGTTTACGTGTTATATATAATTAAACGAAACTAAAAATTAAAAAAAAAATACTCATAAAATTCCTAAAATATTTTTTATCTGAATATTTTCAAATAATTTAAAATATTTAGGCCTATAAAAAGAAAAATTTTTGTAAATATTTAAAATCACTTTAAAAACGTCTGATATCGAAAGAAAAATGAGAATAATCAATTAGTTTGTAAAAGATATAAAATTTTCTATAGATACCATTTGCAAATTTTTAAATCTGGTGTCAAATTTTATATTTGCACTTCTGACAAATTTAGTATTTATAAATAACTTGTTTGAAGAAGCTTCGTTAATTTCAAACCTGTTGTATCCAATGGAAACAACGTTAGAAGGCAAAGTTTAGAAGTAATCCCCGAAAAACCGCCGTAAAACGTTTTGATTTCTTTCGATTTATCAATAGAATCGTATCGTAAGAACTATTTTCAGTCGCAATACGATATAAAAGTCGCATTTAAAATTACAAACTGATTTCATTTATAGAAAACATTTCGTAATTTTGAATTGACTTCATTATCTTAAATATCGATAAGAAATGTTAAAAATTGCGTGCTAAATTGTAATGTTTTATTAAGGGAATTTATCACAGTGGCGTATTACGTAGCGTATAAGTCAATCTTTAATTTTGATATTGAAAATTGATATTATTCTTGCGAAGATTCATCACAAAATTTTGTCTCATTTACCGAATATCTTCCTACAACAGAAAATTTTTAAATGATAGTTTTATATTTTATGTTTTGATAATATATTTATTCGAATTTATTCTCGATTTAATCAGAATATTGGCAGTTATTAATTTCATAAATAATTTATCGTTAATAATAAAAGCTTAAAAAATTATTTTGGTATACTATTTTTTAGGCCGATGTAGTTAACATTTTCCTCTTCTTTGATTAGAAAATTTTAGTTATTTTACAAAATAATTTTCTTAAAACTGCCGAAAATTTACTTAATATTCTTTTATTCTATTTTTTTCCCTTCTGTAAAAAGTTATAAGTATAGAAAAATAATCGATGTAACTAAAAATATAAAAATGTTATTATTAAGAATTTATTTGTATCAATTATATACACGCATTATACAGAATAATAGAAATAAAAATATATATTAATCAGTGGAGCGTTATCCTATTGGCAAAAAGAGCAATTGTCTTGGGCCCACCAACAGGAGTTTTCAAGTCGATCTATTATAAGAAAATATTCCCCTTCCCAAAATATTCCCTCCTAGAAAAATGTCTGAAGTCAACACTGTACATGGGACCCCCTATTTAAAATCTGCCTGTGATCCATGGAGCTATAACGCTCCACTGATATTAATATCACAAGAATTCTTTTTTTCCATATCTACATATCTGCAAATTTTACGTTTAAGGCCCTCAAAGATTTGAAAGTCGACAAATTGATTAATTTACTGAAAAATACAGCCCATATATTATGTTGACAGTTTTAGTTTCTTCTGTATTGTTATGGAGTCAGTTGACCTATTTCGAGTTTTTCTTAGAGAAAAGAAACGACCTTCCCCGTCTCGTGTCATAATACAGTACAATTTTTGCTTGTTTCATTTTGCATTTCATTATTGAATTTGTTTTTGTACTTCTTAATAGTTAATGAATTGTGATTATACGTAAAAAATTACAATGATTGCAATTTTAGAAAAATAAATTAATTAGAATGGTCTAAATCAGGGGTGTCCAACCCGCGGCCCGCGGGCCGCATGCGGCCCAATAAACGTGTAAACAAAACCGACAAATGTTTTAATTTATTATTATTTATTTATTTCAACGGCATAAACTCCCAAAAAAAGTTTCACAAAGCCGAAAACCTTTATTCATATTTTATTTTTGAGTGGAAAGAAAATATTTTCAAATACTGTACTTGGAGATGTGTGAATACGGAAGGATTACTAAATAAAGCTGGAGTTGTGACTCAAAGGATTATAGACCCAAATTTGGGAAAAAGAGGGAAAGATGAGAAAGGACAAAAGATGTAGTAGTGAGAAAGGTTAAATAGATCTTCTGTTCAGCAAATATGGACCCGTAATTTTTCAACCTTTTACACTTCTTTATCTTTTGTCCTTTGTCTCTTTTTCCCGCACTTGGGTCTATAATCCTTTGATTCATAACTCCAGCTTTATTTAGTATTTCTTCCAACGTTGCAAGATTTGACTACATTGGGCCAAATGTGGCTACTTTTTTTGTTTGACATAAAAAATATCATTTGGCGTTTTGGCTGCTTTTTCGGCTACATATTATTTATAATTATATTAACTGAATAAAAACGCACTTTAAAATGGTGTTTCGTCGCTTCT